TAAACACTTGCAATGCATTCCAATGATGCGTTCAATGTCCATAAGATAATCCTCCAGAGAGGAGGCATTCCTCAGCCAGAAATTCAAAATAACAAAATATGTGACTGAAAAAGTTTCCCTGAAAAGCATCGAAGTTAAGTGCATGAACCTGTCCAACTTACAACGAAAGTGGTGTTCAAGTTCCAGGATAAAGGGGTGTCCAAGATATAGGGTATGGTGGACATGTAAAATTATAGTATATTTGCCGGTTCCAATTAAAAGTGTCCAATATAAAGAGGTATCCAGGATATAGGGGTGTTCAACTCGAGGGGTTTTACTGTAATTACTACTCTGCACTTTCTGCATGACATGCAATTCACAATCTGAAAGTAAACGTAGATCACATTTACAGAAGTATGCCACGCTAATGAACATAACAAAATTGGTTTCAGGTACAGAATGCATTTCCATAAAATTACTAGCCTCTCAGAACCTTAATACTCAACTGTGCAGGACAAGACTTTTATTTACGTCTTGTCACCTCACAACACCTGTATTCCACATATGGTGCCTTAAATCTCCAACAGGTAGTGTTGTTCCTCAATTTCACAGTCAATATTCTACACTTGGTAAGATTTTACCCCTATCTTTTGGTCAGACAAAGTTTCTTTACATTTTTAGCATCACTATTATATAAATGTAATTAAAAATAAAATATACTTAAGAAATGTTTCAAATTTACCATGAAATTCCACCAGCTTCAGCTTCTTTCTTAATGAGGCTACACCAGTATTTATGCACATCATCAATAACATGATGAGCAAATTCTCTGCTCTTTGCCTCACCATTAAAGGCAAACTGGTTTTCTGGCTTCCCATCTGGGATTTTGTAAATTTTGAACCACTCAACTGTTGCCTTCAAAAGTCCAGGAAAATGCTTCTCCACATCTGAAATATCTGTCAAGTAAATTAATTAAAATCATTATTTTTTCACACCAAACTCTGGATGCATTCCTCAACTTCTGTCACTCTCTCCCTCTTAGGTACAGACAATCTCCTCGGTACCATCAATCTACATTCTGTCCTCACCGTGATAAGCCAATATTCACAACCATGCAGAACAGATAAAATTATAATATTTACACATTTTGATAGAAGCTTAAAGGATAAATGAATAATAACAAATTTAGATCACTCTTAATTTTGTTCATATCAAACTCTGATTTGTTACTGTGTGACATTTCAGGTACTCAAAGCAATAAGTATAAAGATGGCTGTCTTCTGGGTTGTAAGATTTGAGGTTTTCACAGCGGTGAGTATGAAGATTTCTGTCTTCTGGGTTGTTGCACCATGTAGTCTGGTCGATGTTTACCAACATTTCAGAGGTCATACTGCCTTCGTCATCAGGGCAATGAGTATGAAGATTTCTGTCTTCTGGGTTGTTGCGCCGTGTAGTCTGGTCGATGTTTACCAACATTTCAGAGGTCATACTGCCTTCGTCATCAGGGCAATGAGTATGAAGATTTCTGTCTTCTGGGTTGTTGCGCCGTGTAGTCTGGTCGATGTTTACCAACATTTCAGAGGTCATACTGCCTTCGTCATCAGGGCAATGAGTATGAAGATTTCTGTCTTCTGGGTTGTTGCGCCGTGTAGTCTGGTCGATGTTTACCAACGTTTCAGAGGTCATACTGCCTCCATCATCAGGGCGATTCTTAGTATGAAGATTTCTGTCTTCTGGGTTGTTGCGCCGTGTAGTCTGGTTGATGTTTACCAACGTTTCAGAGGTCATACTGCCTCTGTCATCAGGGCGATTCTTAGTATGAAGATTTCTGTCTTCTGGGTTGTTGCGCCGTGTAGTCTGGTCAATGTTTATCAACGTTTCAGAGGTAATACTGCCTCCGTCATCAGGGCGATGAGTATGACGATTTCTGTCTTCTGGGTCGTTGTGCTGTGTAGTCTGGTAGATGTTTATCAACGTTTCAGAGGTCATACTGCCTGCATCATCAGGAAGATGAATCGCTCCAGTATCGCCCTGATGACGGAGGCAGTATGACCTCTGAAACGTTGGTTAACATCGACCAGACGACACAGCACAACAACCCAGAAGACAGAGATGGATGTCTTCTGGGTTGTTTTACTGTGTGATCTGGTAGATGTTTACTGACATTAAGAGGTGCTTGCTGCCAGCCATCTTCAATTTATTACTACTGTTTTAAAATATTTTTAACTCTTTGCCACATTTTCAAAGAATTTACTAGTCACTTTCATTTACAATTTTATCCTGCTTTTTGGTAATGGGACATGAACATGTAGCTAATTTTCTCTGCATTTACTTCTAGACCAACCCTATTATTAATGTCTAAGTATCTGCAGCTTTGCTTAAGGTATTTAAGCTCTAGCTCAGTAAATTAAAAAACCTGCAGCCGATGTGTAACAGTCATCTTTAATACTCATAATATTCAATGAATAAAAGAAAACTACTTAACTCATATGTGCATGCAATATAGGAAATTTACCTTTCAGTTCATCTGCTAAAGGATCATTTACATCAATGGCAATTATCTTCCAATCAGTTTCACCTAAAATAAAAATGAAATTGTGAATAGAAACCTTGGGGCATAGTCTGTCTCAATTTGAATTTAAGTCTAGTAGCTTCAGAGACTTTGAGAACTATACGAGGGGCAGTCAAAAAGTTCCCGGAATTGTGGTATAGCACTGTAATGGTAGGACATATGTTGATATGATGATTTGATGTCCTCCATGGTTGCGAAATGTGTCCCCTTGAGGCCCATTTCCAGAGTAGGGAACAGCCAGAAGTCACTCGGAGCGAGATCCGGAGAGTATGGTGATTAAGTGATGACAGGAATGCTTTTCTCGGCAAGGAATTGCTGCACAACCAGTGATGTGTTGAATGTGATGGCCGAACTCCGGAAGATTCCAAACGAAGCCTTCCGCCGGTGCTTCCAACAATGGCAGGATCGATGGAGTAAGTGTGTGTGTGCGTGCGCAAGGGTCCTACTTTGAAGGTGATTAGGTAAGCATTGCCATATGTCCTACCATTACTGTGCTATACCACAATTCCAAGAACTTTTTGACTGCCCTACATAAAAGATCAGCACCAGACAGATGTAAAGCCAATCTTGGCTATAGAGTCTAATATTATGGTACTAATTAAATCTCCATAAAACACGTGCTTTTCTGCATTTTACAAAGACACACATGGAGTAACCAATTTATAACATCTGGCACTCTGTTCTCACCCCACTTCTTTGCATGGGTACATAGCGTACCTTTGGACAGTGTACAATTTAAATGGACTTTCTCCTAACCTGTGTCAAAGACCCTTTTTTAAACAATACCAAGTGATCCCAAGTGCTCTAACTTCTCACTGCCCTCAGACAACGTATGAACAATGTATAGTAACAAAGTGGCTTTCAAAATGACAGAATGGCTGACGTTATCAAGAAAATAAAAGTCTTAGTGTGTAGGATAAAGTTAATGAGATAAAACAAATTGAAGGTGGAAAAAAGACAGCTGATGTGTGCTGTGAATTTGGTTTACGTAATTCCACAATTCAAACTTTACGGAAAATAAGATCTAGTTTACATTTAAAGTGAATTTTAGTGCTATACAAAATTATCCTACAGATTTCTTTTGAAATCTGATTTAATCCCTTCATCAGTTAGCATGACACTCATTTATAATGATGTAATTTCTTTGGTCCCATGGATGATGATATAACCAAGTCTGACTGTACTTCAGAGACATGATATAAGTAGAAGTAAGTATCTGAAGAACATTATTTATTACACAACTTTCATATTGCCTTACACTTAATTTTACTGCGTACAATTTTATTTAATTTTAGCACAGATGAGTCAATATTCAGTGATAAGGGTTCAAATGATTTGCCAAATCTAAAGAAATGAAGACATCATATCAATGTATCAACACATTAAATATAAATAATAACAGCAACAACAACTTGTATTTACCTTCATCGATGAGGGCTACTGTTCCCAGCACTTTAACCTGAAGTACTTCTCCCCTCTTTGCAACTCGGAAACCAATTTCCAAAATATCAATGGGATCATTGTCACCTTTGCAACCTGTTGATTCATCTAAAACTTCCGGATTTTCCCATGTCTGTCAATCAAATATGATTTATAAATTTAATGACATCATCAAGTTAAATTACTGACAGGTTCGTAAAGAATAACCTCTCCCTTTTATAATCCCAGGTTATTAACAAAATTATGTAATATTTTCAACTGTTACATAATGACAGACAGGTGAAAATGCAACACAGCCTAAGCATCATGCCAGGAAGGCATATATGATGTGGACTATGGAAGAAAAAGGTCCATGCAGTCTATTTTGACATGAGCATTTACCTTCACTCCTGTGGCCTTACCCTTGGGAATTAGCCCCTTGTAGCCACTGGGTATAAGGCTGCACGAGACACACACAGTTGTTCTGGATGTGGTGATGAAGATAAATGTCACAAAATCCCTGCCAGGATTTGAACATAGCTATATATCTATTCATACAGTCAATACAGCGACTGACCACTGGCCAAACATCTGGGGTTCAATTCCTGGTAGGGGCAGAATGCTTTTCATTTAGCTAATGCATCCAGAATGTTTCATTTTATTTACCTTAAATGTTGAATTTGGGAAACATTCTGACTGACTTCTTCAATATAATTTCTTTTGACTCAAGAGATTGAAAATATCTTCTCAGATATACTCAAGTCTAGTCCTTGGGATGGTTACACTAACAACTACAAAAGGTTCACGTAGCTCAAAAATTAGGAATCGGTAGAAAGGTATGAGCACATTGAAAATCAACATTGCATGCCACATTGTAGACACCAATCTGGTTAAACATACTGAATAAAAGACACTCAGCACTGATATGAACAATTAGGTTAAAGAATTCTGCAGAAGAGAAATTACTCATCAAAGATAGAGAGGATATTTGGTAGCTGTAATAGCAGCATGGCATGACCATTCCGGTACATACAATAATTACATTTGTTTCGGTGTCTCCCAATTCTAGCAGAGAAGTGGCCACATATCCTCACTGCAGAAAGACACCAATAGAACAAACATAAAGGGTTGTGCAAGACTGGGATTAATAAGTTGTGAAAAATAATATAAAAGCTTTTACCTGTGGAATGGCTCCATAGTTCCAAATATAACCATGGTGAGGAAAGCAATTTGCCACAAACCTTAACTTTCCTTTCTTTACATCCTGTTTAATAGGATTCAGAACTTCTTTCAAATTGATCTGAATATAAAGATAAACTAAAATTAACATCTTCTCTAAAATACAATATGCTGTGTGTTTCAACAAAAAAGGCCTCAAATGGCTATATAATATTAATATTAAATAACAACCTTAAGTCTATAAAACAATCACACTGATAACAATACACAAGAGGGAATTTTAAAACTAAAAAAAATAAATTAAAAAGTATCTATTGCAACAGTGACTGGTTATCATCCTCAAATATTCTACATAAGAAATTACAGAACAGCAAAGTGTAGTAAATCAAATATCACAGACAAGTCAGTACATAATTGAATAAAGATATAAAAACATCACCAAATACCAGTTTAACAGGATGTTAACTGACAAGATTATAATGCATATCTGTCATTTCAAGGACAAGTGATAGTATCCCACATCCTCTCCTAATACAAGGATGGTCACCATGATACAAGTCTATTATCTGATATCACACATGAAGGATTAATCAATAGGAATTTAGATAAATGTCCGCTTCTCACACACACTACACTATAGAAAACCAAATTAAATTCAAGAGTTAAGCATCTAGAGAGGGCAAATTCTGTTTCACCTCCATTTTAGCATTTGTCCATCGAGGAATCTCAACAACCATATTGTAGGTTTTCTTGCTGGCATCAGCAAAAATTGGAATGTCATGTAACGGGGAAATTGGACCAGAAGCATTTCCTGAAATAAAGCTTTATCAGTCACAATAACAGAGAAAAAAAATACATATATAACAACAATGGTACACACAACCGGGATTAGTAAAAACGAAAAAATAAATTAACGCATTTCCAAAACATGGTATACTTCAGACTGTGGACGTTGAACGTATCAACTTTCAAGCTCAAAATATAAATTAAACACGCAAAGAGAACGGTAATTCATACCACCTAGTCGAAAGCCGGTAAATTTTGTTCATTTATTTATCTATCGCGACACCACAAAAAAACCCGCGTCCAACATTACAAATTTTTGCATGGCATTTACGCGATCAGCTTATGAAAAATAACGAAAACTGTTGATAAATATATTAATTTCGTTCAAGTGAAGAAATTAAAGAATGATAATATTCTGAAAACAACTTCTTGTGTTTCCTGACAATGTTCTGCAGACTGCAAACATCGCATGTTATCACCGCTCATGTCATTAAATAAAAATTCAAAGGTTACATCAGCATTTCTTTATCGAAGTAACGATCTTCTCAATACACTGAAGAACTTCAACTCACTGAAATATATTCTGTAGTCTGTTGTATTTGGTGAACCTCTTTCCACAGCTTGATACATTGCTAACGTTGACTGCCTTTTCACCAACAAACAGCCGCGTAAGCCTCCACACAAATGCAGTGGCAATAATTTGAAACACGAAAGCAACACGTGCGATTTGATATGCATTCTGCCATCTGCTGGTAAAAAGTGAAGGTCATCACATATGAGAAGCGGCAATGACATTGCGAAACTAGAAATATATAAATATATGTTCTTCCGACACACCCACTGAGATAAGATTAAGGATTACAAGTACAATTAAGCTTATCACTTAGATACATTAACTTCCTCATCTGGTTCCCTTTCATGTTATCTGAATCCGTAAACTAGTGTATGGAAGTACATTTTAAATCTAAAACGTACAAAAGAAGTCAGAATTTTATCATCGAAATAACTAATACTGGAATGCTTTTGCAGTGGTCACGACTGCCACACTCTCTTGGACTACGTTTATTTGACTTACATAGATGAACTTCAGCAAACAATAATTTTATCATCCTGGGTGTATTACGTAGTGTTGTGCGAACACTTTTTGTTTTCATCTGTGATAAGTTACACCGCTGCCCTGGGTCCAGAGTCTTGAATCGTCTGATTTTAATATTACGGAAGTCAGGAAGTGGGGGTATTGGTGTAATGTTTGTACAATATAGCAACAAATACTGCCTGTTATTAAATAAACATACTCTACTGTTAAAACCAAATTCAGTGTGGCTGTAAGATCCACATTGCTAGTTTCTAATATTTTAATTCAGGCCGATTGACTTAGAAACAATAATTTCGGTTTTCTGAACTGTCTGGTCATGTAAATTTATACCCACCAGTGTTAGTATAAAATAGTAGTCTTCCAGTGCTGGTTTGTACCTGGATAGCCCCTAACCATCCCAAGTGTGAGAAGCCAAGATCAATAAAACAAAGGGATATCTTCATACTCACCGCTGTGAGAACCTCAAGTCTTACAAAACAAATGTATTTGAATTGAAGGTATTAAAAGGATATAATATAAATCTGGGAACAGAGGACAGCATATTTGTTTTGATTTTGTCATTTTCAGACATACACCGAAAGCAATTACCTACAGAGGCATAGAACAGAGAAACTGTGGGCACTTCAAATATGATAGCCCATATTAGCTGGAACTTGGCATCACAAAGTTAAAACTGAGTTACCACTATCCCTAGTAATTGGAAAAAATGGGGCCCAAGATCGTGACATGTACATTACCCTTGGAAACATTATTGTTGACTCAATGATAAAGTAAACTGTGCGAGATAAAGCTTGGGTAGCTTTCCTCTCTCCTATACCATTATCTAGTTTAATGTTCATAATTATCAGATATATTAAACCAATATGTTTTGTGACAGGTAAGGCTCAAGAGACAGACACTTGTTACGAACAAACTTCACATGACAGGAATAAAATTATATCCTGTTTACAGTGATAGTGATTTGTTCAAGTACAGTTTAATTGGGACTGTCTGTGAATGAATGTAAGCTATGAAACAAGTTCCTGCAGTATTTATTGTATTGGCAATAGAACTAGGTTTCCATCATATGAAAGCTAGTGGAAAATGTGAAGTTTCCTTCAAGTTTCATTCCAAAGAAAAACAGAATATTTGAATGGCAAACAGTAGATTGCCTATGAACCAACTGTTTAATGGCTAATTTATACAGATTTCTGCTAACTTAAAACTGTCATGTTAATATTAAGATTAATTTACAAAGTCTGGATAAATCTTACTTTAAATATATAACTGTTACAAATACCTGAAATTTCCCTTACTAGCAATAAAACCTGAAATGGCTCCAGGCCTAATAATAATGTAAGATTTTATAGTTCATACTTTTTAATGCAAATAGTTATACATTTCTTTTTACATTCTGTGAATGTACTCCTCAAAGCACCACATGAAAGAAGAATGCTCCACATCTCACCACAGAGTCACAGTTCGTATCACAACTCATGCATAGTCTGCATTCCTTTCTGAGCACATTAATGCCTTAAAAAATGAAGCACATTTACTTTCCTCCTGCACAGTTCTTGATTCACTACACATTATTTTCCTCACCACATGAAAGGAGCTCGTTCCCGTAGAATTTTGACACCTACCTTTTCCCATTCAACTGGATAGATCCAGAGTTCTTGTGCTGATTCCAAACAAGACATGATAGCTGCTCCTTTCCATGCTGTCATCTGAGGATCCATCTCCTTAGGCATCGTTATGATGTCCAGTTGTTCTGCAAGTAATGCATGTGTCTTACTAATTAAACAGGTTGAAATGGAAATTCCAAAGTTCCAAATTTTCCTGTAAATGTGAAACTGGTACAAGTTCTTCATTCCATAAGCTACTAAACTTTGTAAGATATCTGAAAACTAAGACAGCATAAAATAAATGAGGTTGTAAAGACTGTATTATAAATACATAAAACTGATTAAGGTCCCTTCCCATTCTTCACATGAAATTATATCTTTAGTACCTGTAACTTTATTATTTACATGACAGTTTTATAATCAATCCTTACTGATCTGATTGTCCTGGACATCATCTGCCTCTTTTAGGACACACAACATAGAGTAATAAGAGGAGTGAAAGAATTACAGTGAGAAAACATTCAAGACAAAGCTGTCTCTAGAAGAAGACTTCATACCATCCAGTTAGCAAGCTCCACTGCTGATGTTTTTTTCACACAAATGCACATCTTTCTTTAATTTAGTCACCACCTTTACTTTCAAGCAGTAATATTACAGTCTTCTAAACAGTAAAAATGCTGTAGTTTGCATAACTGCCAGCCTTAATACTCTTAAAATGCTCAGAAATTTATATTGCCATGCAGGCCTTACCATCTGAAAACATTCTAAATATTTATGTGATTTTTTTGCTGTCTCTAGTCTACGTAAATTTAATATTTCCACAATACCCTCTTACTTGTGCATAGTAGCTTCCAATAATTTTAAGATAAATGGACAACCCATGTAAAATTTATAGAAGGAAGAAATCAACATTCCAATAACCTACTTATTTATAAACAGACAATTAATTTTTAAAAGGCTTTTTAACAAGCATAGATTATCAGACTTATGCAGCAACATTAAATGGAAATAGCAAACAGTACATATAAGATATGTAGATAATTCATAATTTTGTAACTAGTTTGGATTCTTGATCCATGGCCTGAAATAAAAAAGATAATGAAAACTAGAGCATCTCTGCAGACTCACCAGCTCTGTACATGTATGGAATTTGCAGTGAAATCCTGTTTTGTAGCCACGTTCCAATTCCAATGAATTTCATTCCACCTCCAACTACAAGTATACATCCGTACATCTTCCTTTTCAGGTCTTCCGTAGCTGGAAATGTCAACAGACATTGTTACATGGGAGTTCACAAACTGTTTGGCCAGTTTTACTACCATGCTGTACTACTTAATGATGTGCAGATGATGTTTTGTGTCAAATTATCAGTATCTCTTTTACGTATTCTGTGTATGAAGTAAATGGATAATGGGTAGGTCATATCTATTCATTTCATTCCAAACCTAGTCAACAGACTTTGGCCAAATTTTTTGTTAGATGGCTCTACGCTAAAAACTCATGTGAATTTTATTTACACTCATATCAATCTAATCTAACACTTATTTTATATACTGCACAAAACTAAATGTTATCAAATTCTTAAAAAAGGATTCACCATACAAAAACTGCTGTTTTGACTGTCTATGCAGCTGTTTGTACATATATCCAGACATGAAATGAACTGTTCTGTATGATTACAGAAATACTACAAAAGTAGTGACAATTACCTGTTTTAATGTATTATTCTAGTACTTGCTAGGGAAAATAAAAAGACTATCCTTGTTACTGAAAGAAGAGATTTTCGCGAGGAAATTATGTAATATGAACTGGGGGAAGAAATATAATGGCTCACTATGCGAGTTTTCTTAAAAGACAGGCATTAATGGTGAAGATAAATTGTCAGATGTATTCTCATGTTCCCACACTGATACAACCTCTATTTATTTTTTATTTTATGTTACTTACGACATCTGTCAATGCTCTGCAACACAGCTTGATCTAATCCTAGTGCCTGTTCTGGCCCCAACACAAATTCCTTGGCATCACCTTCTCTGCCACCAGATGGAGCAGTGGAATCAATAGCATCGACAACAATATCCTCTTCCCCAGGCACCACTCCTCCACTGCAGTCTAAACCAGGAGTCAAACCATCCAGATCACCTACAGCTAGGCCACCTGCCAGAGGCTCCAGTGATTCCTTCATACCACGACGCTGTAATATTTACAATGACAAACACACACACACACCTTCATCATGAGCATTACTTTTAGGCAATGGTATAAACTTAAAACTCGCATTGCAGCCCAGTATTACTTTCTTTCAAGCTGACATCTAACAAACTCCAACAAAATAATATGAATGGACCAACTTACACTTGTTTCTCGGAGGTAATTCTCATCATGTGGATCTTCAGGATCTCCACTAGCTCTCTGCTGGATGTGAACTAATTTTGGTCCTGTCACTCCAAAGAGTTCAGGCTGAAATAAGCTCAGTGGTGCCACAATACACTCATCTCCAACCTGCATCAATACAATACAATACAATCTTTACTTCAACAAGTAAAAGAAAATGTATTACATAAAAACCACTTTAACAAAGAATATTTCCCAAATAACATTTTTTTTAACTTTGTGCCTTAGAGTGACATATTTAATTAGCAGTTATGAGACAGACTTGAAGACTATGCACTTCATTTATTTTTCAACATAATAAGTAACTGTTACAATCAGCAATTTTTCAGAATTACATAAATTCTCATTATATAGGGGTTAAACTGTTCTAATAAAGCAATTAGGAATAAGGGCAAAGAAATACATTTAAAATCTGCAATAAATAGCAATACCAAAAATCTACCACACTTCACATAAATCTGGGATAGTTGCATTAATTGACATCTGACATACTATATGGGCTGACAGGTTCAAGAATAAATAGTGCATACTAAATTACGGAAGAGCAGAACCCAACACCTTGTCTTGCAAGGCAATTAAACTTAAACTGAGTTGCTGCATACTATAATTTCATCTCATATATATTTCAGTAAGGTCTTCTGCAACATTTAATAATTCTAGAATTAAGTTCTTCTAACCAAGCATTAATGATATACTGAAAATAATTCACACACATCTTTGAACATTTCACAGTTTACTACAGAAAATTGTGAATAATGAAATTCCACTGCAGTAACAATTCATTTACCTGCAAAGTGAACTTCGAAGTTGGAGTTTTTGGTTGCCGAACCACAAATGTCTTTTCCTGGGATCCACAGATGTCCTAGAAAGAACACATCTTACATACTCAGTGACTTCACAATTTTTTAATCTGTTCTTAAATTTTAGAATCTTCAGAAACTGAACAAACAGTGGAACTTACCAAGTTAACATGGCAGAAGCTTTCTTTTAGGGACTTCAGCAACATGGCATCAAGCTTGTTGTCTGGGTTGCATGTTTTATAAGGAAATGCACATTTCTGCAGCAGCCAGTAAAAAGTCTGTGTGATGTCACCACCACCATATTCCATACGCACCTGAAACCATGTGTTTGTTTCCACTGAGCCAGTATTTCTAAGCTTTGTTCTTGAGTTATGTTTGCCATAAGTTGGTACACTTATGATACCAGAGAAAATAATTAAGGTAATGTTGTTCCCTTGTTTAACTAAGCTGTACACCATGATAATGTATGGGAGGAGGTGTAGCTAAACACATTCTTAACCTCAGTACAAGTCAGAGGTGAGGGGTTGGCCTCAGGCCCTGGTCACTTCACCTCCGAAGGGAAGTGCCTCTGGCACTCAAATGGCTAGTAGACTGGGTGAACCAGTCTGCATGTGGTAAGAACAAGAAAAATCAGTGTCCCTGCCAGAAAATGAACCTTGGTGGAAGATTATCATTAAAACTGAACATAAAAAATAGGTTATGAGTAAATTAAATGGAATGAGTCAGATCAAGGTAGATCTAATGCTAATGTATCAAGATCCACAACAACATTTCAAGGAATACTGTACACTGAGATTAGTTATGTAAATAATTCATATTATAGGTTTCTTGTTATATCAACTCCAGGAGACAATTTATTAACAACAATTGGGTTTCATTGACACAAGTTACCCTAGTGTTACGATGTGAGATGCCATCTTCGACACAGGAAACTGATGTCTTCTGATCACCCACATCCACCACACAGGCATATCCTAGGCCAGCTCCAAATGTAGCAGCTACATGGTCCTGCAGTATAATTTGATGGTCTGATTTTTCTTTAACAAAGTTTTTCAACTGCATAGGTTAGGTAGCATCAAATGATAAGACTAATTTGTGATGGACTGCAAACCAATCAACTGCAAGATTCAGAAATTAAAGGTAAAAGATGTGAAACAAAACATTCTCTCTGACAACCTAACCACTATGATAAGTTTCATATAAGTTTATTTAGCAACGAGGAGTATTTCTGTCCTTTGATAATGCTGCACATAATATCTCTAATAATTATTTTTACTTTAGAAAGACAATTCTTTGCCCTATATTTTGAGAGTAATTTTCTTTTCTTATATAGACACTGTTGACAGAAAATAATACACATTTCTTAACCTTTGTAAACAAGTTTTTAACAAAACTCTGAATATAATTTCTTGAGTGATTCTTCTGAGAACTGATGTTTCAAGCCTCAGTCATATAGTAACACATAACATTACTATTCAGTCCACGCGAAATTTGTAAACCAGTAGCCCAAGAACAGTATTTATACCTTAAATACTTTTGGGACCTTGATGCAGAAAGCTTGAGGTGACAATACTTAAGTTCACATGCATGTATACATAGGACTACCGCTATTAATAATACAGATAATATTAGCACTATGATAAAAAATACATGTAGAAATGAACAAAAGTCCCATGATGAAACCTATTTGTAAGACACATGATTATAATTTTGAGACACAACCGTATTAAAATGTTTGTAACAAAAACTGAACATCAACATCAATGATGAATGCAAAATCAATATTCTACAAACATATAACCTAAGCAAAGTATTTTTCCTACTTTAAATGGCACTAGCGTAGTTCCCACTTAAAGGCTTGGCATGGCTACCATGATGGCAGGAAACTCAAATGTACGAAGGTGGGCAGAAAATATTCCAGCTGCTTCAAAAGTTATTAGCTCAGAACAAACAAAGAGAACTGATGATGCTATAAGCTGATCTTCCCTAACAAAATATGAAACATATGTTGGAAAGGAGATACTAGAATTACCATACCTGGAGGAGGAAACAACCACCAAAGCCAATTTTACAGAGTAGCAGAGTTGTGAGTTCCTTCAGGTACTGTCGATTATAGATGTCCGGAACAATAAGCACAGCTTTATAATGCTGCAAATTACAGAACAGTCATGATCAGGATATTCACTGAAATACTGTGTTTAGTTTCCAATCCTGACATTCTGATCTGTAGCAAAACACCTGAATTTCAGAAATCCAATTTAAATCTGATTATTATATGTCAGCAGTTTCCAAATTACATGAATACTGAGGAATGGACGGTTATTTCACGCTGTTCAACATATAAATTTAGTTAATTTATTCTAGTAGAACTGACAAGTTTTAGACACATAATTTTTTCTTGATCAACATGAATTAGATCACCTGGACCTTTTCTAACATCAGCAGCAATACTTGATGCACTTTTAAGTTGAAAAAGGAACAAAGTGGAGCTACTTACCCTCAGATCTCTGAGTGGGATCTCAAGGCGGTGTCTGATGGCCCATGTCCATATTGTTTCTAAGTTTGCTAGGACAGCAGTGATAGATCCACCTGGACCTGAATGAACATACAGGTCTCCACGTTGGTAAGGAAAATGTATGTTAAAATCCTGCCCTGCATTCAGGTACAGCACCTGAAACATGAAAAGTTAAGTTTACAATTTCCATCAGACCACTGCTATGCAAGGCAGAGTGAAAAGCAAGGATGAAAATAAACATATCTTCAAAAATTTGGCAAGCTCTAATGATAAATGCATCAATAATGTTCCATATCAATGACCGACAGCAAACCAAACAGCAAAATATCTTTTGTATTTGGCTCTTCCTCATAAAGCTTCTATAAGGTGTTAAAATAATGGGGGAAGATGAGGTTAAAACATTGATATAAATTCTGCTTGCAGGTTATTTCACAATGGAAACAATTTAATATGAAGTGGTATGGAAATTACACTGAATTGGAAAGCATAGGGGACAAACAGGCATGGCCTCCTTCAAAACAGTAGCCCTCTGTACACCTGAAAGTAGTAAGAAAAATCACAAAAACAATCACTCATGGTAGTCAGTGGTCCAACAACGACATTAAACTTACTTAAAAAATTATTTCATATTTTACTTTCAAGCTGTATGTGAAGACCAGAAAATGCATACAAAATGTGTCACTGGTAATTATGTCTGGACATATATTTGTGTTATATTCCTCACCTCATCTCCTACAACAACATCCCCATCTGGTTTAATCCACTCGCCTCCTGAACTACTTATAACTTCAGGACTTGAACGTCTGTTAAATGCAGCTATTTGTTGTGGAGGTGTTGCATATCGCCTTCTTCCATCAGACTGTAAGCATGACTGTAGTGTATGTGACACCTGAAGTCTAGAATCTTCCATCCCTTGAACCAGCTCTTTTGTCTAAAAGTGACAGATGAATCATAAATATCAGAATAACCACCTCCATGGAGCAGAGTCCTTTAGAAGTTGACATCCACTCTTCCCTTTCGGTTTACAACTAAAATCTTGTAAGAATTTACATCTTACCTATGTACATATACATGTTACATGTCCCACCAATCTCCATTCAGAAAATTAACAAATAATGTACTCACATTTCCTACCTTTGGAACCTGTTGAGGGAGGAATGTATCATGATGAAGAGCCCCAGATGGCAATCGCCTTCTTGCAACAACATGAAGTAATGTATGAGGATTGAGATCAGAAGCTCGACCAATACGAAGATAGAGTGATCCAGGATGGATCACAATGATTGTTTGAGCCTGAATTTGCTGCAAAGGTATCAGAAAAATAAACATGAACTTATAATATATAACAATACGTTGAATATACAAATTCTAAGCATGAAGACTTCTAATTGGCCCGCACACATTATCTACTGTAACCTGAGGTTTCATAGCATTATAAAGAAACTATTCTCACCCTTCTTCAGGAAGGTTCACTAATTTGATTTTTAATTATTAACTGTCTACAAGTATTCCCTTTACAGAATTCATACCTAAGCAACCATCAATAAGCAACAGGCGACACACAATACATACTACTTGCAGGAATAACACGCATTACAATAAGAAGCATTCTCTCCTGAACGACAGTGATATAGCTTTTAAAATTATTGCTCAGTGCCATGTTGAAAGCAACTTTTCTACTGTATCACCAAGTTGAACATACGCATATCACTGTAGATGGGGTTTGCTTGATAGGCTTACTGTATCATCCAATGAACCACTTCGCATAGTCAGTAATAAAGCTACTGACGAACAACTATTAAGTTGCTGAAAATTATAGAATATGTGGCTGTCAATGATCATTGACTAACATTTTCACAAACTAACACCTTGACTGCTTTGCCATGAATATGTATACCATACGATATTGTGTATCGCCTATAACTTGTTGCGTATTGCTTCGGTGCAAATTCTGTCTTGCTTTACCCCAACGTTATACAGTCTGAGCTCCTGGAAGCGTCGTTAATAAACTATAGATAAATATTACCTCGGCACAAGATTCCTGAAAGGCTGGCATAGCAGGCGACAATTATAATTGTAATTAATGTCACATTAAAATAGAAAAGCGATACGTTAAATTTCTTGTGACAACCATGGCAACATAATTACACTCCACAGACTAAAAATTATTTGTGATAATAACAATTTAATCACACACTACTTTTCGATTACTAATTTTAAACCTGTATATTCTGGCTGGCCTAGGCAATTCCGGTTCCTGAGAAATCTTTAACTTTCTACACAAAAGTTGAGTCATCTGTGACAAGTTGTTGTTGTCTTGGCTATACAACCCCGATTGTAGGTTTTCGCCGCTTGCTTTGTTGCAGGTTTCTTGGTCTAGAAGTGTGCGTGTATGAGTGGTGAGCGACCAGCCCACTGACTCTGCACAATTTTTACTCAATCCTGATTTGACTACCAGAGCAATCTAGAAGTTAATCAGGAGACTTGGGTGAGAAATGACCGCAGAATTTTGTTTACGAAACATCTCGTATCATGCTCATAAGGTTCTTTTACATGCCGTAAATCTACGACATGGGACCGTCGGCTTTACTACCCCACCGAAAGAAGTTGTCCTACGGATTTTTACATCTGTGATAAGTGTACATGCGAAATGCACACAAACAGCATGGCTAGTAGCCTTCTCTGTAGTTAATCAATGATTTGTGTTCTCTTTCTCAGACGTGGTTTCTGCCACGTTTCATTACGTAATGGACACAGTTCACTTCTGTGGTGTTAAAATACCTCGTTTCATAGAACTTGTGTCCTTCATACTATGCATGTGTGCAGTTTCTATTCATCACTTCGGAAAAGCACAGACACATATTACTCCAGACTGCAATCCCAATGCTGCCATCTACTCGTCGAATTGCAGTCTGATTGTAGTCGATCAGCGACAACCAACTGGTGGCCAGCGAGCCAAATCCTGTCCGAGAAATATTATCGAGCCTATAATATAACTTATTATCATATACCGAAGAATTGAAAAAAACTGACTCTAATCTCATCTGGTGCTTTATATATATGCTACTGAATTTAAAACCCTATTGTAAAATATATTAAGAATGAAAAGTAGCTACTAGTTTTCATAAATAGTGCTACTTTCTTGGCCCTTAGGTCCAATGGGAAAACTATTCTTGGCCTGAGAAAAGAAAAAAATTGGACCAACCTAGACCAAATTACTTCAGTATATTGCCTTCAAATCAATGCCTTTTACCATGTGATCTCATCTTGCTGAGATTTCTGACTAAAATTTGTATGCATCTCATCCCACTTTGCATGCTACTTGCTCCATCCATTTTATCATACTTCACTTGACTGTCATAACTGATATTCAATGAAGAGTACAATTAAATGACATGTTTCTTGTAACTCACAAGTACTATTACTCAGCCCCATTTTATTATACAAAGACCTCAAGAACTGTAAGGAAAATGTGTTTTATCACTATCCACAGGTCTAATTCACAAATTACTAGCTGCTTTATCACTTCAGTCTTGAACTGTAGAAATAAATGAGACATAATATACAATACCATGTAGCAAATTAAATTTTACAGAACACAATGGAAACAAACAATAATGACATACATTCATCCATAACAAAAGGCTTACTGGAATTTTTAATTAATGTGTACCAGAAAATATATAACAAAAGTGTGTGAAATGAAACTATAAAAACAAACTCATTCAGTGACATTACACTAAGAAAACTGAACTTTAGAAGAGAAATAAATCTGCACCATGACAATAATGTATGAGTTATTCTGCATCTAAACATAAGTAGTGTCAAAATTCATGCAAAACTGCAGAACATCCTTTGCATTTCTATTACTAAATGTCAGCTGAAAGGTGACAAGTTTCTTACTGAAGGAAGTTTGTAAGCCGAAACTTGTTAAAATCATGTGGATGTCGAGTGATGATGTCAGCTTCCAGAAGCATTTCAAGGCAGTGGTACTGATCTTCTAGATTGACATATGGGTCACTACTCTCATCATCAAAATATGCCTTGGTCAGAACCTACAAAAAAAGAGACAGGTTTTCAGGATTGTGGCCCAAAGTTATATATATACCATCATAATGTAAACAAATTATGGACAACCTACAGAAATGCACAATTCTGGTACTGGATTATCTCAAATATGTTATCTCTAGATCTCCAACTACTAACTGTAATTGTCTTCTTCTGGATGCTGCTGGTGGATATATAGTCTTTGACAGAATGTATATTGTAGTAATGAAATATCAAGTGAGCTCATGGCATCACAATCCAGAAAAACATAAAATTCTAATATCAACACACTGTGACCAATGCTAATCATTAATTACATTTAGGGCCCTAGGGAAAGTGGTCTGCTTAACATGTCATATATAAACAGTTCACTCACCTGAAGAAAATCCACCAGGTAATTGTTATCACCTGGGAAGATCTTTTCTATCATGTCATTCTGGAATTAAATATAGAGGGAATTTATATATGTAACATTTCTGAATCAGGTGCAAAAATTATTTAGCATCTGATGAGTTATGAGATGATGTATGATAAAGTGAGAAGGAAGGGGGAATTAGCAATCATGATCTATTTCAAAGTTTTATTTCAACATTTATCAGGAGCTGATAAAAACTAAAATCTACAGTCACATGATCTTATGCCCCAGTTTTGATTTAATCTGATAACCTCCAAGTCACAAGAAAGTACAGTTCATCAGTAACATAACATTCAGCACTGTTATTCTAATTGTGGACCACTGACAAAGCAAGAGCATGGGCAAGAACTCGAGAAGAGAATGTTGTTGCTTGACATGCTAAGAGATATTTTTTTCTAATGTGTACAATGAATGGCATGTTTTTCTAACCTTATAAGTTTAGTCACAATGTTGGTGCTGCTGATCACATAAGAATTGAAAGGTATACATGATTCCAATGTCAAAGTGTTCATACAATTTTATGAAAAACAGTAAAATGGTATCTATAATATATATATATAAGCCTGAAAATAAAACATGATGTAATGCTTACAGTTTTGTTAAATGCACATACTGACCAGCTCTCTCCTGTGTTTATTGAATTCCACTGAAAGACTCTTCTGCACTGGCAGCAGTGAATCCATCTCATAGACTTCTGGATTTCTCTGCCTCTCCACATACATTTCATCCAAATGTTTAATCTTCTCTTCTAAACTGTGTATATACAAAATCATAGAAATCCAGAGATCACACAAGTGCTTTATCTACTTATAAAAGTAACTGTGTCCGTGCAGAAAAAGGGAAAAAGATATGCAGTAAAGGAACACCAATAATATAAGTAAAAAATTCAACACTGCTAACATGGTCTTGAGCCATAGATAAATCAAGTTCACATCCTCATAACCTAATTCTTTATGGTCCATCTGATTTCTCAGTAAATATATATACCAGTTACTTCCATTAACCTTTATATTTCAATAACCATAACTCTGTAACAGACAAGAATGATACCTGCACTAACATAACAGTTTTAAATCAAATTCACACATGATTAATAACTTACTGAAGTCTGGCCACTTCGTCCTGGGGCACCTGTACATTATTTTTAATTCAATTTTTATGAAAATAATAACAAATCAATTGAATTTCTTTTACATTATCTCTAACAATATATGAAGAAAGGATTCAGCATTATTTTAAAGTATTGGAATTAAAAAAGTTTAGTAATATAAACTTGTAACCTTACTCTGCAAGCTCATTTTTGTCTTCATGGAGTTGCTTCTCACATACACTTAATAAAGATTTTAAGTCTTGTACCTCCTTCTTCAAGCCTGCAATTACATCCAGCTGTACATGTGCAGAGAATCGTACCCATTCTGTAACAAATTATATGAAGATAAAGAACATTTTCATTTTCTGTATGACCATGCTCCTACACAAACCTCTGCACAGTTACTTGTCATAACCACTTCTCCGCCTTTCTCCTTTTCAGAGAGCATTCGATAATGCAAAAAACACATCATTTGTGTTTTTTGCATATATCTGAATTCTAAGATAGACTTTCCCCCCCCCTGTGGTTTATGAAGGTGAAGTTATCAGATATACGGTATTAATATATATAAAGCAATAAACTGATCTTCATGATATTGTGTGAATATAATGCCATAGGAAGTTAGGCACTGGTGTACACTACTTTCACTACTAGTAACAGCATGCCAACCATGCAAAATTGTAAGGTGGGAAGAAGAGTGAAATTTTGTGGTGTTATAGGTATTTAATATAATTCATGCTGCCATAATATTTCTGTACAATGTAAAATAATAACACTGTAACAATATGAAAGTTGGTATAGAAATAAGGCATAAAGGTACCTAGACTTTATATGAAAAGCCTCCTTTCTGTGGTAATAATTAGAAACATGGTGATAATGCAAAGCATTAAAATTACACTTGACAACATTAACAAGAGCTACCCTGATTCTTAAGAAACTGAAAGGTTTATTACCTTGTTCACAACTGCCTACCAGTGGATCTGGTACAAAGCCAGATGAACTGAATTTTGCCCCCCCCCATTTAAGATACATTTTAAAACCATCTTCCCGGCTTAGCCAAGGTCTCCAAAGTGGTTTCTTTTCTTCAGGCTTTCTAACAATTCCATGTGCATTTCTCATCTCCTGTCCCACCCAAGATATTCTCCATGATCTGATCACCCAATTCTTTGGTGAAGACTTCAAATTTCTGCAATATTATGTTACTCCTTCTCTCTCAGGTACAAATATTCTCCACAATTTAGTTCTCAAATATCCTCAACCTATGGTCTCCTCTTAAGGTGACATATTTGACACCACACAACATAACTGGCAATGTTTTAATATTTAGGTTTTTCGATAAAAGATGGAGGTTTTCGATAGAAGACAGATAGATAAAGGATTCTGGACTGTAAGAATACTAAATATCAGAACCTCCAATAGCAAATACAGTACAAACACATGAATAGTAACTTTCATTACATACCCTGTGGATGCAAACGTCTTAACTGTTGTGACAGACAACTCACAAATGATATTTTATATTTCAAAAGTTGCTGAAGATCCCCTCTCACTTGGGGCACAGGGTTATTGTCTTCTGAGGAATGATACTTATCAATAACAACACTAAGCCTCTTAAGTTTGTCTGTCAAATAAGCATGAACTTCATTCAGTCCAAATTCATCTCCAGGTCCAATACCAATGCCCATCTCTGTATACACAGATGCCTGAAATTAATTTTAAAATGCACCATTAGTCACTTGTTTACACAGTCCAAGTAATTCATGTGCAACATTTAGATAGCCACAAACTTGCAGGAATTATGGCATCATTCATTTAAATTAAGATTACTGGCTAATAACACCAAAATGTTCTTGGGCAATTAGCCACGTCAAATGGTTACACGAAGAAACCAACAATTTGGGAATCATCTCTGTCCCCATCATCAGGGTCCAGATGTCATCAGAACCCTGATGATGAGGACAGAGTTTAGTCACAGCAAAAGCTTAAAATCATATAATAACAACCAATAAATATTATGATGGAATCTGACTGATGGAAATTCTTTAGGTATTATTGCATTTACTTCCGCATAAGACAACATTCTATGTGTCAAAGAATTACTTATTATTTAACTACAATACATAAACTGAACTATGTTGAAAAAGTTAAATATAAACAAAGTAAATGTGGTAAAAAGGGCCTGTGCCAATGCTAAAGTCAATGAAACTATACCAACTTTGTATAATCAATATTGTATACAATCTAAGCCAAAACTTAATGTAAAGCTACATTTTATTTTTACTGAAAAGGAATAAAATATGAGTAAATTACATAAAGAGAACATTATTTATGCAGGTCACCCAGCACTGTTAGCATGTTGGTAACTAAAATGTTATGGTAAACTGGGCACATAGCTCATCTCAAATAAACAAAACAAAACAAAAAAACGCGTACAGAATTCATAAGGGGAAGCTCCTTTCCTTCCAAGGCAAAATAAATAAATAAAATAAAATAATGGGAAAATAGAACTGCTATTGAATTTCAGCAATGATGTTTTAGGATGAGGCATGGAATCAACTCTGGATTGTGTCCAGTGGTAGGCACTGGTACAGAATTGCTGAACTTTCGAATCCTACTACAAGAACAAGTGTCAATTAAAATGTTAATGTTGCTTTTAAGGTTATGTTTTATAACACTCTTCCACTGTTCTGCAGGATACTATGAACTGACTCTATGATCTGTATAAGGGCTTTTGATGAAAGCACGTCGTTAAATTGAAGCATATCCTTGGCCATATTCTTTCCCCTATAACTTTAAAAACCACGACGTTTCGGAAGCTGGCTCTGCTTCCGTCATCAAGCACAACTACACATTACACACAATCAGATGGGTTCCGTGGAAAAAGTTAATATCAAACACAGAAAGCAGAAGCAGACTACGCAACGTCGTGATTTTTAAACAGAGACAAAGGAAAATGTACAAGAATATATATCAGTTTCGTGTGGATCGACGTAGCTTCGAATAAACGTGTATCGAACCTTGCATTTGATATATCACAACATACTTTCTAGGCACTGAACAATAACCTAATGGGCACCTGCCATGCAAATTATGGCCTGTATGCCGGATACAGAGATTTCAAATAGAATAAGAAAATTTTGATATGCTTTCTCCATTCTACCTGGAGAACACCTACGGTTCATGACATATTATAGAACAGCAAGAATAACATTAGAATAGTCAACTACAACTACATCTCAGGAATGGATCACTACATTACAACCAAGTATACAGTTAAAAATATAACTACTAACCTGTGACTCACTTGCTTCTGATTCCATAATTACCGATTACTTTGAATAGACCACGACTGAAACAAAAACACATTCCCGCCAGCTCACTGTCGCCAACGGCTCAAACGAAAAATATCCCATGACAGATTATGATGATTAAAATTGAATGACGTTCGGCGCCATAATATTCTTTTGGTGTCGATAGCTCAGTCCCGTATGCATCCTACTGTCTTACCTCTTATTCATTCACAGCCAAAACCATCAGCCACAACAGTGGAACATAATTATAAGCAACACAACATTTGAAAACGTTTCAAATTTTAATTATCTAGGAACAACAATAACAAATAGCAATGAGGGCCATGATGAAATTAAGAGAATACACTCGGGAAACGTTCGTTTTTATGCAATTCAAAAACAGTTAACATCTCGTTTGCTATCCAAAACACTAAATATTAGGATATAGAAACAATCATTTTGCCTGTTGTCTTCTGTGGTTGTAAAACGTGGTCTGTTACCTTGAAGGAAAAACGTAAATTACAAGTGTTTGAAAACAGGATGCTCAGGAAGATATTTGAATGTATAAAAAGAATGAAATAATTAGGGAATTTAGAACATAGTGTAACGAGGAGCTAGTGAATTATACAGGTCGCCAAGCATAATGATGATAGTGCAATCTAGGAGGTTCCAATGGGTTGGACATGTGGCACGCATGGGGGGGAAGGCAAGGGTTGCATACAGAATAATGGAAGGGAATCCTACTGGAAAACGACCACTTTGCAGACCAAGAAGGAGATGGGAGAATAATATGAAGATGGATCTTTGGGAGGTGGGCTGTGAGGATGGTGAAATGATGGAGTTGGCTCAGGATCGTGGCCGGTGGCAGGCTTTGGTGTTGTCGGTGTTAGACCTGTGGATTCTGCTACCAGGAAGATGGTTACGGCAGGTGACAGTGGCGTCCGAGTTGTGTGTGTGGAGTGTTCCAAAACGAGTTTTCAGTGGTTTGCTTTGGGTGTTGGTGGGGTGCACAAGGAATACAGAACAATTTGGCCGATTTTGGTGTGAATGGGAGGATAATATAAAATTGATCTTAAAGAAATGTGGAAATGGGAGGAGGATGTGAATTGGATTCATGTGGCTGAGGGTAGGGACTAGTGAGGATCTTTTGTGATCACAGTAATGAATATCGATTTTGCACAAAAGACGAGGATTTTTGACTAGATGAACGACATCATGGCTTCTCAAGAGGAACCATGCTCCACGATATTACGACGAACATCCCTTTAGTTTTAAGAAAATGTCCATTTCAGCTATACATATGGATTATACTGGATCGACACGGCACAAAGTAAATTCGTTATGCAGCGTTTAGCGTAGACATTCAACAAGGTTCTTTAAAAAGCCTTGGGTACTTAACGACGACACAAGGTGACGGACAGATATAGGGACAGACACGACCTCCTACCAACAACGCCTTCGTAGAAATATATTTCCTCCTTCTACGATAATTTCAAGGCTCTGGCAGGGAATGACGTACGGGATTTCCCGTGGAATGAAAACAGGTTATATATCCGCACGCCGCACAAACAAACAAGCTTAATCCAGTAATACTTAACATCGCAAGATGTGGCCGGGTGAGTACTAAGAGTAGAACAAGCTTTGTTTGCTTCTCGGCTTTGTTCCAGCAAGTAGCAGTCTCTTCCTTCCTTGGCTTAATTACTGGGTTCACAAAGTGAACGTGTATGTTCCATATGCAAAATTACTGAACAAGTCTCCATGAAATTTTGCATTGGGAGTTGTACTTTAAACGTAGGCAGGCGAATTTAACTTTTGTCATCCTTCCGATACAGTGTAACGATCATATTGAATGAGAATTAAATCAAACTGCTGATGCTTACTAATAAGTTCAACTCTGGTTTGCTGGTTGCAGTCCTACTCCTAGCAGTGGTGTAAGGGAAATCATAAAAAGAACCTGAAATTTCTCATGGAACGTTGACTGGATAATAGCATACTTCCTTTCCCATACTGAAAGCCATTTGTGACGTAGCTCGTCTTCAGAGCTGGAACATACAGAAAGACCGGATTTCCTGCAAAGCTATCGGACTAGTTTCCTTCTCACCTCCGCTGATCGAGGAGAGAGCTCTACCTCTCTGTAAATTACAACTTAAGCATTTCTTATAAAGTTACAGGATGTAAAATAAAGATTCACATTTTATTATAGCTTTCACTTAAAAACATGTTTCGATATTATGAATATACTTTTTTATAATGTGTGTGGGAAATCGTAATAAAACAATGAAAAACACAGAAGCTCTAACTGATAATCGAATTAAATAAGCTAAGATTATTGGCAGTCAAGAAATGATGGGTATACAGAAAGCTTGATAAAGGTGAAACAGGAACAAAATAATTTGGGAAACTTCGTAAAACGATGTCCATCGAATATCTCACACAGGTGAAAGTAACACATGGTGACAGGGGGTCATTTTGTTTGTGTTAGCTTCCGTGCCTTACAGAAATTATGAACAATAACAATAACAGTGTTGTCTCATTTTCCATGCATGCACTTGCTTGTTTAAGGATTAACAGTCACACTAAGAAACACAAATAACACTAATTTCTTTGTTTGTTTATTACAGCAACTCTGTGTTTCATATTGGGTACGCTGTACCTCTCACGAGCTCAGTCCTCAAATACCGCTATCAGCAAGCAATCCGCTGATGCAGTCGACAACTTTTCTGTGAACCTCTTCAAGGTAACTTAGTTAAAAATATACTGACATTTAAGTCAATTGAACTGACGACGTAGTAGTAACTGCAGTTTATTTAGTGTGAAATGATGTGGGGTGGCTAATTATGTAAAATGAACTAGAAAATATGTGAAAGAAAGCGGTGGTAGCTTATTTCAACGTAACAATTTATCCATTGGACAAGACAGACGCTTTGCCGCCTGAGCTAACATGATTGGTGTACATACATTTCTTTTAAGAAATGAAATGAAATCTCAAGGAAAACATCCTCTAAAAGGAAACTTCGAAGGTGTCCTTGACAGATATTAAACACTGTGTAAAGTTTTCTTCACAGCGTAGCTATTTTAAGTCAATTACATCAAATATATCAGATTTTTAGAATCTCTTGGGTAAAGCTAATTTTGTTAAAAGATGTGTAATTTTTAAGATGTTACGAATGAATATTGTTCTTCATATAAGCTCACTTACTAATCTTTATGGATTGATGTGGGCTCATAATATTGGGAGTAATGCAAAAGCACTAGAATCTGCTACTGGATGTAATATTCTTCTTAAAAGAGCTCTTCGTCTCTCAAGTTTTCTCAGTTTCTGGTTTGGTTGTTAGGTGATCTATTCTCAAAACTGTATTGTTGCTTGACAACCGTTTAATCCAAATAGCGATCACTTTGCGGGCGTGAGGGTTGTAAGTAATACAGAAGTGGTAAATAGAATTGTATATTAAAGGGACTGTCGGAATAAATAAGACATGCCATTATTGGAGCATAACTTCTTGGAAACCTCAAAAAACGAACACTTTCGCCCATTCGTACTTAAAACGATCCACAACTGAAAAACAATTGAAACTATTAGATCTTCATGTTTCTTGATAGGGACGAATGTCTAAGAATTTCTTACGGACAGATTCAGATTTTGAATTTATTTTATTTGTAGTTAATTTAACGACGCTGTCAGCAACTCAGACTGTATAGCGTCGGATGATGTTAATATGTCAGTCAGGATAGCCTGTCTCCTGGTCGATAGTTTACCCGACATATTTCGAATATGAAACAGAAGTGCTCCGACGTTCGGTATAATTTAGTTGACTTCATTATTAGATCTGAAAATGTTGGGGGGGGGGGGAACATTAGATTCACATAAATTAATACTCATTAATAATTAAGTGCACGAAATTATCGAGTATAAGGGAGGTCATCTGTCCGAATGTTTCATCTCCGAAACTACTGTACGGATTTAGATTGGTGTTCGATATCTTTATTGATTGTTTTAGGGCGAATGTAATTTCACTTCGTGTTGGTCTAATATAAATTTCCATTAAATTCAAATGAACGTTTGTCAATGTCTCATCACACAAAAACTGGGTACACAACAGAAAGTATAAGTTATATGTCATGAGCATAAACAACTATTAATCTGACAAATTTGTATATGAGGAAAATACTTAACGAAATACAAGCAACACTGTCGATTCTGACTTCTGTGAAACTTCGATAAAACAGGTTTTTTATCTGCAGAAAACAAACCCGAAGGTCGAATAAGATATGCAGAATAGAAAAGTTCGAGAAACAAAAATTTCGATAACTCAGGCCGTTGAAATACACCTTCATGAAGAATAATTGACGTTAGTATCGTGTCTAGTCAGTTTACGTCATTCAACTTCATTGTTATTTTAAAACTATCGACATTTGATAACCCATATCTAAGGCCAAATAAGTTACAAAGTGAGAAGTTAACTAACTGACTAAATGTAGAAAAGTAGCAACGTAGGCTACTTTTTTTAGAAGCTGTTAGCTGCTGAGTCGATAAAGAAATGGCCGTTTATAAATTTAAACTTCATTATCGTGTTCACAAGAACATGCCAGTGGAAATGTCACGCCTTCTAAGATAAGCCTACGTTTCAATATTAACCTCTCATTTATGCCTACGTCTCCCAAGTGGTTTCTTCCTTTCAGCTTTTACAACTAAAATTTTTATTCTCTTCAGTGATTTCGAAATGTCCCACCAATCTCAACTCTCTTGATGTTATTACCGTCATAATATATGGTGAAGAGTAACGCTTATGAAACTCATCATTATGTATTTGTCTACATCATTCTTTTACTTCCTGCTTCTTAGATTTATATATCTCCTCAGCACTTTGTTCTCGAACATCCTAAATTTACATTTATTGAAGGTAAACATTATACAGTATTGAAGATTAGATTCTGTTATTATGAAACGTAAGTATCATAAAATGTCAAGGCGACGTAACAACAGGTTAGTTTCTTTTGTTTTAAAGATGTAAGAACCAGAATTAGAGGTTAACACGAATATGCAGTATGTCTGGTCATGTGAAACACTGACCTGAGTGACAATTAGCCTAGCTAAAATAAACGACCTTGAAATTATTCATCATCGTTGCGGTTCGGATATTCTAATGGATTGATGTCAAACTAATGTTAATTATTAAACTCCTATGACATACCCATTTTAAGACAGCTGTATCACATGACGTCAATCAGTGTTCAGTTCATACATTTATAAGTCAGTCACACGTTTGGCTCTATTTCCGTCTTCTGATGATTGTCATCATACTGACACATTAATATTTTTGTGACAATGGTCGGGATCGAACCCAGGACCCTTTGAATTCCAGACGGACCGGTAGTCTAGTGTTTATCGTACAAGCCTAGCATTCGAATCGCATCTGAAATGCTGATATTTTTGTGCATACGTACGTAAGGAAGAAAGGTAATAATGAAAAAATGGGAGCCATCTGCAATATGTTGTAAATAATCGGAAAAACAGTAAACATCTCTCCATAAATTCTTTTAAAATATAGACCTATTTATAATGCACTCCGTCAGTAATATTTGTATCTTGAAATCAGTGTCAATGTGATAATTTATCTTGAAAGACTAATGGGGTCTGTAGTTCAGATTCTCTGGCCGGGATGTCAGGAATCATAATTTCATACATAATGGCCTGAACTGTACGTAGGCGGTGTTCAACAACAACGGCGGCAACGCGGTGGTCTCTCCCGTGAGTGTGTCCACTCTCCTGGCCATCATTCAGCAGGGTTCTGGCGGCAACACACTAGCTCAGCTGACCCAAGTTCTGTACCTCAACCAGGAGCAGTCGAAAGAGACATACGGTCAGCTTACAAGAAACTTGAAGGTAATGCGGTGTAATGTACAGCGAAGACACGACCAGCTTATTCAGACAATATGTAAAAGCCTGTTGGCACAGAGGCTCGTGTAACGCCTCGGTGGAGGATTATGATTGTATCATTTTTAAGAACCACTACAATTCAAAACTTTACATTTTTAATGCTTCATATACTGTTTAATTACACTAATATGTAACAGGACTCTTCTGGAAATGCGACCCTGGAGTTTGCTAACGCTGCGTTTGTGGAAGAAGGATATCCAATAAAACCTGAGTTCTCGAGAGTCATGGTACAAGATTTTCAATCCTCAGTTCTGACTGCCCAATTTTCTGAACCTGTTGAAGCTGCTGCAGAGATAAACTCGTGGGTGGCAAATCACACACATGACAAGATCCAAGAACTTATCTCTCCGAGTAAGGAAACATCACATTGCTCAGTAAAGTGCGCTTTTGTCAGTGACTACACGTTATCTATGTGAACGTCTATTTCAGAATCACTAGACAGTTCAACTCGACTGGTGTTGGTTAATGCCATCTTCTTCAAGGGTTTTTGGAAGACACTCTTCTGGAAGAATAGGACGACAAATGACGCTTTCTTCACAAAACCATACACGTCAAAACTAGTTCCTACAATGCACCTGGAGACTAAACTGTTAACAGGCGATCTTGAGGACTTGGATGCTCGATGGCTGCAACTTCCATTTGAGGCAAGTTCTACCATAAAAATATGTATGATCCTGAAATTTTGTTTTTCATACTAAACTGGTCCACAATATATGTCCTCTGCTTTTCATCACTTCATTTCCTAACTAAGTGGTTCCTAAAAATTTCTTCTAAAAAAGTCTTTTAAACACGTGATCAATAAAAAAATCTTCATCAAATCTTCTCCTAATCAAATGGGCACTAAAACCTTTTTATGACTCTATTCTAATCACATGCTCCCCAGAAATGTTTATCGTTTCTCTTTTCCTAAACCCGGGGTCTCTAGAAACGTTTTTGATCACCTGTTCTACCCACAGGATATGGCCCCCTCCCTCTTTTCGCCCAATCACGTGTTTCATCATTCATTCATCTCCCATTGTCATAATTATACAAGGGATTTCCAAACACCCTGAAGATGAAAAGTGCAGTGTTTTACGTAACGTTTAAAAACCTTCAACAATCGACGTGGCTTATGCCCGAAGCCTAACTTTGTATTTGTTGTGTGCAATTTCTAACATTCGACACTGTATAATCTGATCTGTCATCGTCATTAAAACACTATAACTAAATAACATCATTGCTATTCCAGGAAAATTGTCTGGAGAGAGTCTGTCTATAACTAATAGCTTCTACACATTGCTCTAATAAAACACTTTTATGTATATGAAGTAATGATGGAGATCACCTCACTAGAACGTTATCATCATTTTTCACTCAGGTTATATCCACTAGTGCTATTAGAGACTGCAATGATGAAAAACGCGCCTCACTTTCGATTCTGAAGTTAGTACACCAAAATCACCAAAACCTGATTAGCCAAGGAAATGACTATCTGAAACTTATTGTACAAGTCTGTAATTACTGACAGTTTGATAATAAACTTGTGGAATTCAATAGAACGTGGAAATACGGATATAAATCACAGTTTCTGTATTTCGTTAAGATTTGTTTAAGAATCAGGATGCAACAAATATTATCAAGAGGGCAATTACTCTTAAGAATGATCATATTTCTTTTTCAGTGCTTGTTATATATAAAATATTTAATTTTCATGTCTAAAATCAGTTTGGCAACTCATGTTCTCTTAAGGGCGATCAGTATTATCTGCTGATAATTCTACCCAACAAGATAGACGGCGTGGACAGCGTGGTGAACAGCATCACTGGCTCTGAGTTCTCCGACCTCCTTGATAATTTGGACAGTCGTGGTTGGAACAGAACTGTCGTTCTGTCTCTGCCGAAGTTTAAGCTGGAAACAACGCTGCAACTTATCCCTACATTAAAAGAGGTACGAAGTGTTTCATAACACAAAACATGGCGCTTTTTAGTACAGACTAGGGCTTTCACAAATAATCATATTATTTGAGTAGCTCAAGGGAAGATTATTCTTAAATTAAAACATATGTTGCGTTCTTTACTGTTCAGAGCTAACTTCTATTACAATTTTTGGTAGTTAATTCCAAAAGAAAAAAAATAGAATCTGCCAATTTCTTAGCTAAAACACAAATTCTTTAACAGCCTTTTTAATAGATTTTTCTGAAATTCGCTGATAGGCATTTAATGTTCAATTTTAAAGAAGTAACTCGCATGATTAAAGAAAACAATACATAGACTAATATACGTATAAGATACAATACCTCTTATCAGAAAATAGGTTCCAAATACAATGAAAAACACGTCCTAGACATAAGCACGCATACAGCTGAGTGGCAAGAAACTCGCTGTCGAGTTATATATTCGGCAATTGGACGAAGATAAAAGTCCCGTCTACTGACCGGATCGTTGCGACACTAACTGACACTTTATTCCCCGAAATTAATAAGGCATTAAGGTACATGTCGCAGTTGGAAGCTAAGGCGACACTTGCATTAAAATGGGACCTGAGATTCGTGTTCTCACTGCAGCCAAGAAGTCAATAGTGGTCTTGTGGGTTGTAAAGTCATGTGACCCTGCAGATCACTACCAACACTGAAGATGGAGACGGTATGTCCCTCCGAAACTTTCGTAACCAATTACAAGACTACACAACGCCACAACCCAAAAGACCACTATTAAAATAAAACATATCAACGCAATGCACAAATGTACAATAGTTTTTAAAAATATATGAATTGATAAGCCTGATTATTTTATTATTTTAAAACAAGTTTTGTGTATAGACTGGAAAAATAAATATATGTATCATGTTTCTGCTTCTCAGATCGGTCTGACAGACATATTCTCTCCTGGAGCGAACTTGAGTGGCATCTCAGGGGAGAGTCTCTATGTGTCAGAAGTTGTTCAGAAAGCAGAAATCGAAGTGGACGAAGAAGGAGCAACAGCTGTTGCCGCTACAGGTTTGTCCTCTATTACAACTAGAAGTCCCAAAACTGCATGCTTCAAGACCACTGAATTATTTCAACCCCTCCTTCCTATACATTGTGGCTCTGAGTAACCAGTGCACCTTTGCTACGCTGCAAATTCTGAGCCGTCTTCACTCTCCTGCGCTCCGTTGCACGTGTTGCACGTGTTGCAACGTTGTACGATTTTTCTGTGATCTTGAAGCATGCAATTTGGTGACGTTCTACAATATGTATCACACTCCATACAACAAAGTCCGTCTTTAGAAGCTGGTGGCTTTCGGTCTGCCAAGAAATTACTCACGACCGCCTTCACAAGAATCCGCCATTGGTCCCTATCCTGAGCTAGATGAACGCAGCCCGCCCTATTTCTTGAGGAACCATTTCATATTATGCTAATAACCTTTATTTCCCACTTACCAATCATCCTTCTTTGTGCCAAATATCTTCTTCAATATATTTACTTTCAAACACATGTAATGTAGATACGTTAGTCACTAAAGGAAGGGATAGAATTGTTTCACGTTAATTTTTACCTACATTCGTCACACTTGGACACACGCAGTATGTCGCCACTTCTAACTTACACAAATTACAACATCCTGTCTGAGGACTAGGACCTATAATCACACACCAGACACAAAAGTGTCAAATCTATTTACATAAATTCAGAGAATATTTCGGACAGGTCTCGTGTCGCTGTGTAACATCCTTCCAGATCTGAACGTGATTAATTCTAATTTTTATGCTCTAGCAGTAATTGGTGTACGCATTCCTGATGCGATTGGAAATCCTTCTCCAGTAGTTTTCACTGTGGATCACCCGTTCTTAGCATTCCTTGTGGAAGAACACGATAAGATACCACTCTTCGCCAGCAGAGTAATTGATCCGACGACTTCGTAATGATCGCCTGTTTGTTGTTCTTGCGTGATGCTCACCTGTTTGTTGTTCTTGCGTGATGTTCACCTGCCTATTATTTTTGCGTTATTGTTCTTGTAAGAAATTCAGTCACAAGAATTTTAGTTTTGCTAATTGCCGAATAAACTGTAAAATAAAGCTGGACTGCAAAGTGTCGACCATGCGTTTTGATTTTCTTAATATATGTCAGAGCTACGTATATTTAAGAGATAGAATTGTTTCACCTCAATGTTTACCTACATTCGTCACAGTTGGACACACGCAATATGTCGCCACTTCTAACTTACACAAATTACAAATTGCAACATCCTGTCTGAGGACTAGGGTAATCGCACACCAGACACAAAAGTGTCAAATCTATTTACATAAATTCAGAGAATATTTCGGACAGGTCTCGTGTCGCTGTGTAACATCCTTCCAGATCTGAACGTCATTAATTCTAATTTTTATTCTCCAGCAGTAATTGGTGCACACCCTACTGCTGTGATTGCAAATCCTCGCAACGTTGTACGATTTTTCTGTGATCTTGAAGCATGCAATTTGGTGACGTTCTACAATATGTATCACACTCCATACAACAAAGTCCGTCTTTAGAAGCTGGTGGCTTTCGGTCTGCCAAGAAATTACTCACGACCGCCTTCACAAGAATCCGCCATTGGTCCCTATCCTGAGCTAGATGAACGCAGCCCGCCCTATTTCTTGAGGAACCATTTCATATTATGCTAATAACCTTTATTTCCCACTTACCAATCATCCTTCTTTGTGCCAAATATCTTCTTCAATATATTTACTTTCAAACACATGTAATGTAGATACGTTAGTCACTAAAGGAAGGGATAGAATTGTTTCACGTTAATTTTTACCTACATTCGTCACACTTGGACACACGCAGTATGTCGCCACTTCTAACTTACACAAATTACAACATCCTGTCTGAGGACTAGGACCTATAATCACACACCAGACACAAAAGTGTCAAATCTATTTACATAAATTCAGAGAATATTTCGGACAGGTCTCGTGTCGCTGTGTAACATCCTTCCAGATCTGAACGTGATTAATTCTAATTTTTATGCTCTAGCAGTAATTGGTGTACGCATTCCTGATGCGATTGGAAATCCTTCTCCAGTAGTTTTCACTGTGGATCACCCGTTCTTAGCATTCCTTGTGGAAGAACACGATAAAATACCACTCTTCGCCAGCAGAGTAATTGATCCGACGACTTCGTAATGATCGCCTGTTTGTTGTTCTTGCGTGATGCTCACCTGTTTGTTGTTCTTGCGTGATGTTCACCTGCCTATTATTTTTGCGTTATTGTTCTTGTAAGAAATTCAGTCACAAGAATTTTAGTTTTGCTAATTGCCGAATAAACTGTAAAATAAAGCTGGACTGCAAAGTGTCGACCATGCGTTTTGATTTTCTTAATATATGTCAGAGCTACGTATATTTAAGAGATAGAATTGTTTCACCTCAATGTTTACCTACATTCGTCACAGTTGGACACACGCAATATGTCGCCACTTCTAACTTACACAAATTACAAATTACAACATCCTGTCTGAGGACTAGGGTAATCGCACACCAGACCCAAAAGTGTCAAATCTATTTACATAAATTCAGAGAATATTTCGGACAGGTCTCGTGTAGCTGTGTAAAATCCTTCCAAACCTGAACATCATTAATTCTAATTGTTATTCTCCAGCAGAAATTGGTATACACCGTCAGGTTGTGATACCTCCAGTAGTTTTCACCGTGGATCACCCGTTCTTAGCATTCCTTGTGGAAGAACACGATAAAATACCACTCTTCGCCAGCAGAGTAATTGAACCGACGACTTAATAATGATCGCCTGTTTGTTGTTCTTGCGTGATGCTCACATGTTTGTTGTTCTTGCGTGATGCACATCTGCCTATTGTTTTTGCGTTATTGTTCTTGTAAAAAATTCTGTCACAAGAATTTTAGTTTTGTTAATTTCCGAATAAACTGTAAAATAAAGCTGGACTGCAAAGTGTCGACCATGCGTTTTGATTTCCCTTCATATATGTCAGACTTACGTATATTTAAGAGATAAAATTGTTTCACGTTAATGTTTACCTACATTCGTCACACTTGGACACACGCAGTATGTCGCCACTTCTAACTTACGCAAATTACAAATTACAACATCCTGTCTGAGGACTAGGGTAATCGCACACCAGACACAAAAGTGTCAAATCTATTTACATAAATTCAGAGAATATTTCGGACAAGTCTCGTGTAGCTGCGTAAAATCCTTCCAGATCCGAACGTGATTAATTCTATTTTTTATTCTCCAGCAATAATTGGTGTACGAGCTATTGGTGCGATTCTAAATCCTGAACCTCCAGTAGTTTTCACCGTGGATCACCCGTTCTTAGCATTCCTTGTGGAAGAACACGATAAAATACCACTCTTCGCCAGCAGAGTAATTGATCCGACGACTTAATAATGATCGCCTGTTTGTTGTTCTTGCGTGATGCTCACATGTTTGTTGTTCTTGCGTGATGCACATCTGCCTATTGTTTTTGCGTTATTGTTCTTGTAAAAAAATTCAGTCACAAGAATTTTAGTTTTGTTGATTGCCGAATACACTGTGAAATAAAGCTGGACTGCAAAGTGTCGACCATGCGTTTTGATTTTCTTAATATATGTCAGAGCTACGTATATTTAAGGTCCTTTGGTCCTTGGTTTTTATCAGGTGGAAAAGTTCTTATTACTTTAGCTACCGACTGCAATGCCATTCTGTTTTACAATATCTGACCCACGTGTCACCACTTTCTTCGGCACTAACCACGGAAGTTAGCACAGCTGTAAAGAATCTTAGGGTATACCATTCTAATCTAGGTCGATGCACCCTTAGTCTGACAGGTTTTTCAGTCTCATCTACAGTTAGTCAAGTACCCTGAAAATCGAAAATACCGCTAGAGTTTCCTTTCTCAGTATTTGCAGAAAACCTTTGGCATACAATTACTTGTCTCATTCGATATTAACCTTCGATATTAATAATAAAAATGTGGTTTAAATAAATCGTATTAAATAACCAGCGATCAACTATTTATTCCTAATTACTTTTAATATAATTGATGAGAATTTGTAAATGTATTTGGTTAAACAGGTCGTAAACTATGTAAATTAGATGGGAAAAGGATAAAGGAGCTAATACGTGTGACCAGATAATGACCTTTACTTTATCACTGTATTACTGAACAAGTTTTGTTGTATATCTGTTGAAAGGCAAACTAAGATCATAGTCGGTAATAAAACTTGCTACACTTCTACGAACCATGTTGTAATAAATAAAACTAAGGCATAGCTGCAACTGCCTGACATCACGGAACAGAAGAACATTCAGATATTTGTTTATTTACTTAGATGCATATCTTTAGAAGTGTATAATAAATAATGGAAAATATAAAATAAGAGCAATGGAGCTCTAATAATTCTTAAATCCGGACTGAATTATGTAGATCAACATTTCCCATGGTAAACATTACAAGCGCTACTTCGTAATTACATATAAATAATAAAGAATGTGTCAATTATTGCACATTAATTCACAAATTACATATTCTATAATAAATGTCATTAATTAGATTTATTTATCTTACAGGCGGCGTAGTTAACGCTCTTATGGCAGAATATCCACTTGTGTTCAATGTGGATCATCCATTCATCGTGTTCATCGTGGACAATCTCAACAAGTTGCCGCTAATAGTTTCCAGAGTGACCGACCCTACAGCTTCGTAATGGATTTCGTAATTGAGTACTGTTGTATAAAGAACATCAGTAGCAACAATAAACATTTAATTGCAACTTAAATAAAACATATATAAATATGTCACAAAATGAAATAGATATTATATTTTGTCAAACATATGTATTACTTTGTCTTGTTAACAGTTTCCAGTTTGGTCTGTATACTATATTCCAATTTTTCCGATTAAGCTACATAATAAATATGTCGAACTACTTACTAACCACTGCTTAAAATTGTCTAAGCCCATTCCATGCAATGCACATTTACACTTCATGTAGTAAAAATCTGAAAGTTTCTAAAGATTATTTATTATAAAGTGAAAATTTGTTATTTTCGACTTTGCCGTCATGAATTATATGATACTAAAACAACTTTTCGGAAGCTGATTCTGCTTCCGTCTTCAGGTACAGTGGGGTAAGGTGGAAGGGGGAGACGTACAGAAATATTATCTGTTGGGCCCTTTGTTAAGCCAGTCTCACACATTACGTCTGTGTCGTGTTCCGTTGCCTTACTTTTTATAAAAATCATCAGTAAAAGTCATGTCGAAAATGAAAACTGAGAAGCCCAAGGAAATTCATTACAGAATTCGTTTTACATTTAATAAAGTCGTGTCTGTTGTATTTGATGTTTTGAGATACTACGTCTACAGCGTTCACGTGTACTAAAATATTAAAATGACCGCGCAACACTTTGTAATAATAATTATAAATTATCACGTATGGGAAATTCATGATTGTGAAAAATTAAAAAGATACATCAGTACATTATACCTTTGTTACTTGAGACATACACGCACACACACTTTTCCACTAGTACATAACGGCCTTTACTTTGCATTTCTACAGGACACACAATAAACTTTTCATGTAGATTCTGGAAAGGGGGTTGAGCTTCAGCTGAACTCATTCGTTAATCAAATTACGAAGTTTGGGGTAGAAAATGAAAGTTCCGTAACGGATTATAAAATGTTCCTGACCACACATCTTCGTGACTAAACCCGAAAAAAAGTTTTTAATTTTTAAACGTCTCAAGTGTGTAACTTTGCTACAACGCAAAGAGAGGTAAAAGGTAAAGGCAGTTGTATTATAAATGACATGTTCTATCCCTCAGGCGCAAAGAGACGATTAAACTATGTCAGCGTTCGTGTTAGTATCACACAAAGACGTCATGGATGATGTACAGATGGAGAAGATCAGCAGATGTTTAGATCTGAACGTGTTCCTCTTGAAAATTTCGGCAGCATGGCCAGGCGATATATCTGCATCACGCTGGAAGAATTTACTTTACAAATGCTGTATAATATTTTTGGGATCAGTGGTTACTTTCTGTGTGTTCGGAATGATAATGTATTGTTTCACTGTATACGACAACCTGGATCATGTCATTGAGAATGCCATAGTCCTGGTTGAAATTGTTAATTTAAGTGGAAGGGCGTTCTCATATAATGTTTATAATAAGAAACTGTATTTTTTGATTGAATCACTTCCAAGAAACTTCTTTGTTCGCACTGCATATCATACAAATGCCATGCAGATTACATCGACAATATCTACCATAAATCATATGAACATGATCAGTCTTGGGATTCCGGTGTTATACATGGGTACTGCAGCAGCCATGGCCTTGCATCCTTTGATTATACCAACTGACGAAAATGGCTACAACAGTAGCCATTCTGCCCAAATACATATCCCTTTCAAGACCTGGTACCCATTCTTCACAGAAGACAATTCATACTATGAGATTCAGTATATCTGTCAAATGATTTCTGCAGTTTTCGTAAGCATATATAATGCAGCGACGGATGCACTAAGCATTGCCCTGATAGCGTACCTCGGTTTTCAGTTCCAACTACTCAGTGACACTTTGAGAAACATGTCAGATAATGTCGTGTTCAAGTCGAAAACAGATACCGATGACAGAAATTCCAGTTCAGAAAAACTCGGAGAATCTGTTGAGAACATCCTTTCAGCTGAACAAGTATTAGTTTCGAAAACTGGAAATGTCTCTTTGAGAGAAGTCCAAGAACAACTTCAACGATCTGAATATGGTGCTGAAAAGAACACTGGGTGTTCAATTGAAACTGTGTTGGAAGAATCCATCACAGACACAATTCAGCATAATACTGACGCAGAGATGTTAGAATACTTGAAGTCCTGCATTCGGCATCATCAACTGCTTCTCGAGTGAGTGTACATTGTTAAAAATAGCATGAAAGCACATAATTTTCACACTTTATACTCTGATTTAATCAACAATCCACAGATCGAATATTATTTATAATAAAAGCTGTAAAAATATGTAGCTATATATATTTTTGTGCTGGTACAGGGCTTGTAGCTTGTCTGATGTCTAAGATACTGAGATATGCATGTTTTCACATTGTTTCAGCTTTTCTGAAACGATGGCCAAGTTTCTCAGTCCAATGTTCTTCACTTTGTTTCTCACTTCATCCATTCTCATATGTC